TATTCCTCTTGTACTTTTCTTCTCTCAACACCGGGTGCCCACCATGAACCCTTCGCCGTGGCCTATGATGACGGATGTGTCCAGCAGATCATCGCGTTGCAACGGCACATCGTCTGTCGGATCCGGTGGCATTTTGTACACCACCGGCAGCGAAGCCCACCCAAATCCAAGCATCCCACATGTGCTCGTTTGCGGCTGCAAATGTCCTACTGTAAACAAAATCTCGTACGCAAAAAGAAATCCAACTCGAGAATTCCTCATGTGTGCACGCAAGGGAACTGAGGTACGTACAATAAAATATATTTCTCTCTTCATTACTTAACTAACTATTTGCCTTGTAACTCTAGTTTGTCATGGCATATTAATTACACAAATGCAGGAACCGTTCTCTTGCTAGACATGGATATGGGTCGATCTCTTAATGGCTTGCGTAAACCAGTTGGTCGACTACCGCACTAGATCACTCGTAGCCCGTTTGGATGATGCTTTGACAGACGCACGTGAGAAGCCAAGTGAAGATGGATGACCACCAAATACAAATTAATGTTATGCACAGCCAAAAAAACGAGATGCGAGCGAAGATAAAAAACTTTAAGAAGCTTCGATATGTACTCCTCATTGTTGTGATGATTTGTTTCGTACTCCCAGCAGGAACAGTGGCAGAATTTCTTCTGGTGGCATCCATTGAACTGAAGATGTTTTTCGCTTAGGCATTATCTAGAGTAGCAATGGCCGGTTATGTATTATTTTTAGTTCTTAAACTGTTTAATTTAGTTCATTTTTAATTAATGTGTATTATGCATCTCCTCAAGATATGCAAGAAGTAGTTCTTCATGGCTTACGCAATGTGTATGTATGAAACCTTAGACATAAAATATTTATTTAGGATTAAGACAATATGATAAAACTTATAAATACATAAACAGTTAGCAGCGTGTGGGAGGAGTACAAGCGCTACTAAATTTACCCCTAGTAGCGTGTTCTAGAAAGCGCTAACGTCACATTAAGCCAATTATAATTTAGTGATGTTATTAATATTAAATTACTTAATTTAATAAGGTGGTCATGAATAATGGAACTAATGTTAATGCCAAAGAGTGGTATTTAGTGGGAGCAGTTGTCATGAGCAATTGACTATTTGATAAAGAAGTGGTTGTGTTCAATATGATTTGTGAGGAAGGTTTCTGTAACCTGTACCTTTAATAAAGGTTGTAAGTCAATAACGGAACTAATGTTAATGTCAAAGAGTAATATTTCGTGGGAGCAGTTGTCATGAGCAATTGACTACTTGACAAAGAAGTGGTTGTGTTATGATTTGTGAGGTAAGTCCAGCGGAAATGCATCTCAATGTTCTACCTACATGATTTCTATCCAATCTTACACAAGGATGCTCCTATAATATGGATAGAAATGTATAATAAGTGGGTCTTTGTGACGGAAATTGCTAAAATGCAGCTCGAGTTCCATGGAGCCTGAATTTTGAAAAAAAAATCAAAAATTATCTTTTTAAGTTTCAAAACATTCTTAAAAAATGTGCGTAAAATTTCAGGATGAAATACGTTTTGATGCGAATCAACATGTGGTTGGATGATTAGGAGGATAGTGGTATTCCCAACTCACTAGAGTTCAAGTTGTAGACTTGACATTGGTGCTGCATTTTTCTGAATTTATTACAAGCATTTCGGCGATGTGCGTTTAGTGGGAGGAGATGTTTCCATCGACTACGAAGGTGTCTGTGGCAACTCATCAATCTTTAAGATGGTGTGTCGGCTCAGTCTCTCGGAGGTGGTCATAGAGATAGGGTGTGCATGCGTGCGTTCATAGAGGTGAGTGTATGTGCGTATATACGAGCATCTGCGTCAGTACTATATAAAAAATACGTTCTAATATGAGCTACACAATAAAAAATTCATGAATTTCTATCACATATATTGTTCACTATAAAAGTTTATTATTTTTCTATGTTTTTGTGTAGATCACATCGAAACGTATTTTATCATGAAAATGTACACACATTAAGTATGCATCCTTATGTATATGTGTTTTTTCTAAAAAATTATTAAAACTTAAAAGATATTTATTTATTTTTGGCAAAAGTTGAGCCCTATGGAGCTAAACATCCTCTCTCGGTTTATAATCCCAAAAATCCACCCTCGGTTTATGATCCCTTCATTCATGTTTGTTTCGGGAGCGGAGTCGCCTACCCTTCAAAACACACATACTCTGTCAAGTATCAACAAAGTCGTACTAAAGCAGGGACCGCTTGCTAGCGAATTTGAAAATAAGACAAGGCTCCCAAAAAACCTTGCAACATTTTCTTGTTTTCGTTTTAACACACACTTTTGCTTCACACTTTCTTCAACACACACACATATGCCTCAAGCACTGTCTGTGCCTGTTGCACAAAAAAAGGGGCCCAAATAACGCTATCTTTCTTTTCAAATGCACAGTAAGTGCGCGTCATTTTGTATCAAAAGAAAACACCAACCAGGCACGAGTCCTGCAGATCACAAGTAAAAGCAAATGACAGAAGGCACAACAAAAAGCAGAAGTGAAACTTTTCAAAGGATGGCAAGGATACGTTACAGGCTGACATCACATGACAGGAGGTACATTTTCATCTCCAAAGAACACAACCAGCGGATATTTGAGATGAACCCAAAGCATCATAACTTCAGGAATACAAGAAAACCAGTACTAACATCCACATGCAGTGGGAAACCAAAAAGGAGAACAGACGATGTCTATAACCATAGGATTTGATCCTAAAGTAGATCCATACAGGCGCTCATGCATCACGAGTTTATTTGAATCGCAAACAAACATGCACTCCTTGTATGTGATACTAAGAAGTCACAAGAGTTACATAACGCTATCGTAGCGTACTTCTTCCAGCTTCGATCACTGCGGACCGGTTATGACAAAAGAAGGCACAAAGGTAAAAGAATGACTTTCTCCATGAAAGTCGGCACATCCTTCAGTACTCCTTCTTGCCAAAGTTCTTGCACCAAAGCTGGGATGGGATTGGCCGGACTGGGTGATGCGGGCGTTGCTGCACAAGAGTATATCACATTCGTCAGCGCTAACACAAAAAACAGAAAACTAAATTGGGTCAGTATATACCATAACCTAGTCCTATGGAAATTGTCATGGAGACATGTCTTCCAAATGAAGATTGAGATAGGGGAAAACCAATCAGAAGAAAAAACAGAAGGAGAAAAGGTACTAACTACAGTACTTCCTCTGATCCAAATTAATCGAGGCAGCCTCTATACAAAATGGTACTAACTACAGTACTTCCTCTGATCCAAATTAATAGAGGCTGGGTCAATTAATTCAGATAGGAGGGAGTACCATTTTTTGATATAAGATATGAGAAAAAAAGATTGTGTTCATATGCACTTGTATTGCTAGAAATAAAGATGCTTTTTTGCCAGTTAATTTTGTTCTGAACATAGATAAAATATTTCATTAGTCTACCATAGCATTCAGCTGGTCAGAACCACATCTAGCAGGAAAATCAGATATTTAACACATACACCAGGAAAACCAGATATTTAGTTGGTATGCATTTTGTACTGCTATAAATTACATCAAAGCTCATATGCAATATTGATATAACAAGTTGCTTATGCTTTCCCCAAATTTCGTTTTGAAACATCAAATAAAATGTTTCATTGGTCTACCATGGCAGGCAGCCGCCCACCAACACATCTACCAGTCTATGCAAAGAACGTTTTGACAAAGAAAAGTTTAACAACCAGGTTTGTGGCCAACTCTAACATGGAGCATCAGGACTATCTCATAACTACATATACTCTGCAATTAGTACTACTAGATTGTATCTTGTGCACGATCCACAATTTATTTAGCAAAAAGCTGATGCCCATGTGAAGCCTGTAAAAGATCTGATTCTATTATGCAGGTACACCTATATGGAATAGGTCTCACTAGTAGCAGAACCAGTACCGGACTACCGGGGGGACAAAACACTGTGTGGTGAATGCCCAAAGTATACAATAAAAAGTGAAGAACATGAGATTAAATCTAAACCATTTTTTAGTATTGCTGGAAACAATGCATTGATACAAGACTCACGTAAAGGAAACATTGCTCTGTTCTTGCTGAGTACCCATACAAATGCTACGTGCAGGTGCAGTTATGTCATTTACTTGTTTTATACAAGTAACATGGACAGTATTGGTTGGAAGTTTGTCTAGCAAGCGAGAAAGACCAGCAATCATGCTCTGTGTACAAAGTTCCATACATTTGCATCACATTATAGAGTTCAACACAATACAACCTAAACAAGCACGGCTGCTGCAGACAGAAGAGCAAGATTTGTATTCCATCCGAGAATTCAGAAGAATGCATTTTGTAGCCCACACTGAATCCCGTACCAAGGATCAAACCACGCGCACTCAGAGCATCCATTTCTGCAGCTAAATGCAGTAGATCAGAACCACCTAGTATTTGGACACCACTTCCACATTTCGACCTGTCCCTGCCAGCGCTACCCAACGACGAGAAATCTCTACCAACCAACCATGGCTGACACTTCCGCCAAAAATTTCCCCGCAGGCGCAGATCTCGTCCCCCGGTCATAGGTCGGGTCAGCCCAGGACCATGGGGCGACGGCTTGGGGCTAGGGGGTGGATCGGGCAGCGGCACGTGGGAGAGGAGGGGAGGGGAGGGCAGGGGGAGACGCACCTCGAGCTCGGCGGATTTCATGGCGATGGGGATGCAGACAAGGAAGATGCCGACCATGGCGATGGCGGTGTTGCGGCGCCAGTGGACGGGCCGGCAGTAGGGCCCGCCGGTCATGCTCCACACCTTCTGCCGGAAGTCGCCGCCGCTAGGGCCGTGGCCGCCATGGTCGCCGCCCATCTCCGCCGCCGGTGCGATTGCGAGTGCTCCTTGGATTGGACGGATTCAACCAGATCGGGGGTCGGGTGCGGTCTGGGCCTGGCCGGGCCGCGCTGCTGCTGCTGCGAAGAGAGTGTGGGGTGGGCGGTTTTGCATCGACGACCCTGCTACCCGTGCTAATTACTGCATCCCTTCATACAAGTCGTTTTTTCTTCATATGGAGTGCAATTTAACATTACTTCCCTGGTAACTTTGTCTTTTGAAGTTGCAAAAGAGAATTAAGATTGTTGGTCAAAATAATCAAGGTTGTAAAATGAGATGCTAATATTTTCTCTAATTTTGTCTACAAATATTTTCCTCTAATTCTTTGTTCGTAAACAGTTGTCAGTTGCCTCCCACTGCTGATTTTTTTGCTCTATGATGAGGCCACTCGGCAAGTGACCGACGAGTGTGCATGGCCTCTGCCTGTTTCTCCATGAGGCTCATCATCTTTTCTGCCTTCATCTTTATCCTCACTTCCCTAGCCTGAATCATAGTCTCATCTAATTGGATCTAGCATGGACTGGCCCCATCCCTGTTCTCCGATCCATGCATCTCTTTCCGACTCACTCTTTTCTTTGTTGTCTTCTGTCTTCGAACCTTGCACTATGACATGCAATAATTAGCTAGCCCACATCAAAACTATTGTGTGACATATGTGGACACCTCAACCATGGTATGTGGTGATGGCCACTTTCCGAGGCAAATCGAGAAAAGAAGTGAACTTCATAATATGTCCTAAGAAAAAAATTGCATTATAAACACTACTAAAATTCTGACTTATTTCAACATCCAAAATATACCTGTCCAAGCAAATTAGATAAGCATGTCACAAAAAACATATACCATTGTAGCAAGACGTATCCAAGAGTACAACAAAAATATTTCATAATTCCAGCAATTGAATTACATCGATGCAATAACATAAGAACAATATCATGCATTGCAGCGCCGTCTGCATATTGTCAAGGCAAAAGAATCACAAAAATTACACATTTTCAACATCATTATATTTTGGCATGTTAGATATAAGCCTGTGTCCAAGCATATCTATGTGAAAAGAAATGTGCGTAGAAATATAAAATATGAACCATTACTACCTTACAAGGTAACACAACCTTGGTGATGCAACTCATATGATTCTGATATAACAAGTTGTAGCATTATATAAGATGTTTATTGCTAACTCGGATGTAATTCAATTTTATTCTTCGTATGAGTACCACTATATATAAATATTATTGATCAGAACAACTAACTTAAACTGTGCAGACCAAGAGTTCTATAATCGACAGAGAACAAGTATGAATAGATCGACTACTTCAACTATACCAATGCCGAACGTCACATCCAGTAGCACAAACATGAAGGTACCAAACATGTCAACGATGCAGCACATGGATGAGGCTACAAGGGGAGGAGGCGGGGAAAAAGTGAAGACAGTGGAGAAGATGATGGGGAATAATCTTGGTAATATGCATGCAATGGATCTTTCCTAAATTATACACTCTCTCCTTTTATTTTCAAATTTGGCTCTAATCGTGATCCCTATCCAGGCAAATTGATGTGATTGAGCTCCACAGAGGCCACCGAGCGATACAGACAAGAGGGAATGATGTGTAGAATTATATGTAGTTATGTAGAAGTTGTACTTATACCAAATTTGTTTATTTGTTTATGACTTATTATTTTTCACCATTAATTTTTATGGATTAATGTCTACCATTAGATGCAGTATTGTGTATTTTATGCATTGGAACCTAATTTAGCACATATAAATATATTTAAAGAAGCTCCATAGCATATTCATACAATAAAAATCTTGTTAGAGAACACTAGAGCATGTGATTTTATATTAGCCACAAATAATACAAAATTATAGTGTATGATATGTCTACAAGTGTTGTCAAATAATTGGCATTGCCAATTTTCTGATAATATAGTCAAAAGTGATGTTTTTCTGGTTGTTCCCAAGGTTCGGTGATTATTTGGCAGTGCAAGTTGTCACCACTTGGGCGATGCATGTGAGACACTATGGTGTCAATGACGAACAATGACCAGCAGACAACACAAATATATTTGGAAATCATTGCTCAATCCCAAAACACTTTGTTCTAATATGCTTTACTCTAAACCGCATGTGATGTTTCTAGCATGATTTTCATTTTATTTGTGACGATATATAAACCATTACCAGTTCCAACTAGAGTCTCCGCACTATAAAACCCACCATACCTACACACTCAATTACAACTCGCAAATTTAAGCAAAACTGAACTTAACCACAACTAGGTACTTCACCTAGTGAGCAATGAGTATATATATATATATATATATATATATATATATATATATATATATATATATCACTATTCAAGAATTCATCTGATTAATTAGGTAATTGGACAATTAATCGCTACTCATCGGGTGGTCGAGTCGAATCACACCTATTCATAGCGTTAACTTGTCGGGCCGATTAAATGGTTTGTGAGACCGATTAAATGGTTTGTTAGACAAATTAAATGGTTTGTTAGACAGATTAATTGATTGCTAGGCTGATTAATCGTTGTTGGCATGTTAACTCATTGTCGAACAAAGCCCGATTATTTGACCCATTACCCCTCCCAAGCCCCCTAATCCGAAAGATCTAGGGTTTAGCCCTCCACTCGCCCCCTCCCACTCCTCTCATCCCCTCCCGACCTAGATGGTGGCTGGCCAGGTCCTCGTGGGCACGTCGCCACTTCCCCTCCTCCCATGTGTGTTGCCACTTTCTTTTCTCCCTTTGTGCGCTGCTACTTCCCCTCCTCATTCGTGACCTGCCACAGCTGGCAACCGACTTGTTCATATGTCCTGCCTGGCCGCCGTCACCCTCTGTTTATCGCGTCGCATGGCCGCCATCTCTCAGAGTTGCGCCCAAGGCCGGAATCAGCAAAAAAGTTGTTGTTGTATACATGTTTGTTGATGATTTTACATCCACATGATGATTGTTGTTGTATACATGTTTGTGATCTATTGGGGAAACAAAATTGTGCTATTTTCTTCATATTTGCAATGTAGATTTTCTTTCTCCATACAAAACTTGCTTCTATTGAGTCTGAATTTATACCGATTAATGGTCGAATGATTAATCCAGTTAATAGGCCGATTCATCGAGTAATCGCTACTCCCAAGCCATGCGAGCAACTACCTGTTGGAAATATACCCTAGAGGCAATAATAAATATGTTATTATTATATTTCTTTGTTCATGATAATAGTCTTTTATTCATGCTATAACTATATTATCCGGAAATCGTAATACACGTGTGAATACATAGACAACACCATGTCCCTAGTAAGCCTCTAGTTGACTAGCTCGTTGATCAATAGATGGTTACGGTTTCCTGACCATGGACATTGGATGTCATTGATAACGGGATCACATCATTAGGAGAATGATGTGATGGACAAGACCCAATCCTAAGCCTAGCACAAAGATCGTAGTTCGTATGCTAAAGCTTTTCTAATGTCAAGTATCTTTTCCTTAGACCATGAGATTGTGCAACTCCCGGATACCGTAGGAATGCTTTGGGTGTATCAAACGTCACAACGTAACTGGGTGGCTATAAAGGTGCATTATAGGTATCTCTGAAAGTGTCTGTTGGGTTGGCACGAATCGAGACTGGGATTTGTCACTCCGTGTAAACGGAGAGGTATCTCTGGGCCCACTCGGTAGGACATCATCATAATGTGCACAATGTGACCAAGGGGTTGATCACGGGATGATGTGTTACGTAACGAGTAAAGAGACTTGCCGGTAACGAGATTGAACAAGGTATCGGTATACCGACGATCGAATCTCGGGCAAGTAAAATATCGCTAGACAAAGGGAATTGAATACAGGATTGATTGAGTCCTTGACATCGTGGTTCATACGATGAGATCATCGTGGAACATGTGGGAGCCAACATGGGTATCCAGATCCCGCTATTGGTTATTGACCGGAGAACGTCTCGGTCATGTCTGCATGATTCCCGAACCCGTAGGGTCTACACACTTAAGGTTCGATGACGCTAGGGTTATAAAGAAAGTTTGCATGTGGTTACCGAATGTTGTTCGGAGTCCCGGATGAGATCCCGGACGTCACGAGGAGTTCCAGAATGGTCCGGAGGTAAAGATTTATATATAGGAAGTCCTGTTTCGGCCATCGGGACAAGTTTCGGGGTCATCGGTATTGTACCGGGACCACCGGAAGGGTCCCGGGGGCCCACCGGGTGGGGCCACCTGCCCCAGGGGGGCCACATGGGCTGTAGGGGGTGCGCCTTGGCCTACATGGGCCAAGGGCACCAGCCCCAAGAGGCCCATGCGCCTAGGGAACCCTAGAGGGAAGAGTCCTCAAAGGGGAAGGCACCTCCGAGGTGCCTTGGGAAGGATGGACTCCTCCCCCCCTCTTGGCCGCACCCCTTCCTTGGAGGAAGGGGCAAGGTTGCGCCTCCCCCCTTTCCCTTGCCCCTATATATAGTGGAGGGGAGGGAGGGCAGCCATACCTGAGTCCCTGGCGCCTCCCTCCCTCCCGTGACACCTCCTCCTCTCCCGTAGGTGCTTGGCAAAGCCCTGCAGGATTGCCACGCTCCTCCATCACCACCACGCCGTTGTGCTGCTGCTGAATGGAGTCTTCCTCAACCTCTCCCTCTCCCCTTGCTGGATCAAGGCGTGGGAGACGTCACCGGGCTGTACGTGTGTTGAACGCGGAGGTGCCGTCCTTTCGGTACTTGATCATCGATGATTTGAATCACGACGAGTACGACTCCATCAACCCCGTTCACTTGAACGCTTCCGCTTAGCGATCTACAAGGGTATGTAGATGCACTCTCCTTCCCCTCGTTGCTGGTTTCTCCATAGATAGATCTTGGTGACACGTAGGAAAATTTTGAATTTCTGCTACGTTCCCCAACAGTGGCATCATGGCTAGGTCTATTGCGTAGATTCTTTGCACGAGTAGAA